GCCTTCAGCTCAGGTCATGATCCCAGGGTCCTGGGATCGAGCCCCACATTCGGGCTCCTGGCTCAGTGGGGAGCCTGCTTCTGCCTCTCCCTCTGCCTCTCCCTCTGCCTCTTGCCTCTGCCTCTTGCCTCTCCCTCTGCCTCTCCCTCTGCCTCTGCCTCTCCCCCTGCTCGTGCTCTTTCTGTCTGTATCTCTGTGTCTCAGATGAATAAATAAAATTAAAAAAAAGTTAAATGACCTGTGGATAAGTTCAAGTCTCTCCCTTAAGACAAAACAAAATCTCCTTTTCTTTCCTTGATCCCCTCTAGTTACCATCTTCTGATTTTCCTTTCTTACTGTATCACTCAGGGCTCTTGACTCTAAGCAACTGTCTCAGAATCTAGGTATATTAAGGAAAGGAAAGGAATTTACTGGGTGGAAACTGGAGGCAGGTCATCCTCTCCTGTTGTTGTGATGACTAGTCGTCAACCATCTCCTTCCCTTATGAATGAATCTCCCTTATAAGTGAATAAGTGTCACTTGTTCGGGATTCAACATTCCAGAAGAGACAAGTTGGCCAACCTAGATCATATGTCTGCTCCTTGGCTTCCTGTCTGAGTCAGCTCAGGCTGCTATGTAACAAAGTACCACACACCAGGTGGTTTGAAGAACAGAAATTTATTTTCTCACAGTTCTGGAGGCTAACAGTCTGAGATCAAGGGTTGGTTTTTTTCTGAGTCCTCTCTCCTTGGCTTGTAGACGGCCATCTTCTCTTTCTGTCTTCCCACGGTCTTCCCTCTGTGCCTGTGTCCTAATCTTCTCTTCTTGTAGGGACACCAGTCATATTGGATTAGGACACATCCTAATGACTTCATTTTAACTTAATGACCTTTCCAAGGTTCTGTCTCCAGATAAAGTCACATTCTGAGGTACTCGGGGTTAGAACTTCAACATATAAATTTGTGAGAGACACAGCTCAGCACATAACACTGGCCCAAGGCAGGGGAAAGGGGGATCTGGCCCACTTGGCTTATGTAGCGGAAACCAGTCACCACTTTCTATTAAGACTACTCACAGTGGGGGCTTCCTCAAGGGAGAATGAGATGCTGATACGAAGGCGACAGCCCCGACAGCCCCGACAAAGCCCCTGGACAGCCTCGACAAAGGTCCACGATGCCTTCATAACGGAGATTCTCAGAAGGAGTAGTAATTCATGAGAACACTTTTTCACTTCTACTCAATCTTCAACCAAAAGTTATCAGTTTTTGTCCCCCAACTACAACCCTTGAAATTGTTCAGGCAAAGGTCATGAATAGGTCCCAGAAGACCACATTGAAAGTACTTCTTGAACTTTCTACAGCTCTTAATACTGTTGACTTCTGCATCCTTAAAAGTCTATGCGGCCTGGGCTTCCCTATTCTCCTCTCTTCTCTAACCCTTCTTCCCCAATCTCCTTTGTCAGCTGTTCTTCCTTTTCACACTCTGCAAAAGTTGCTGTGTGCCAAGTTTCTGTCGTTGCTCCCCTTCTCCCACCCCACCTCCCATCTACTCTACTTCCTTCCCTCACTGGAGGTCCCCTTTTTTCTCACTCAATACTCAGATAGAGAGATCTTACCCATATTATATCTGAACCTAGGATCTCTGGATGGGCTTCACATGGAAATTCTTAAATTATAGGGAAATTTATGTGTATATTTATTTGCATTTTTTCTTAGGAAAAGGACTAAAGCTTTTATCAAAAGTTTAAAACACCATGTTGATGCCTCCTAAATCTTGTCTTTTGTCCAGACCTGCTTCTGAGTTCCCAGGCCATATGCCCAACTGCCTACTTGGAATCTTCACCTGAAATCACAACTACCTCCAACTCAATAAGGTCAAGAGCTGAGATCGTTATCTCCCCCCCAAAGCCTGCTCCTCTTCCTTTATTTCTTATGTCCATGCAATGTACCACCATCCTCCTCATCATCCAGATCAAAAAGCTGTGCATCGCCCAGACCGCTCTTTCTCTGTTACTCTCATAGCCAATCACTCATCCAAATCCTGTCCGTTCTACCTTCTTCACCTCCCTCTTAGAGGCTTCCATTGCATTTCCACTTCTTTAACAGGGAATCTCCTCTTGGCTAGACTGTCAAAATAACTTCCCAACTCTTCTCTCCACCTTCGATCTCTCTCCTCTCCAGTTTATTTATTGGACTTCTATCAGAGTAATTTTTATAAAACGTAAAACTGATCATGTCATTCCCCAGCTTAAAATGTTGATAATCGGTTTTACATTTTATAAAAATTATTCTGAAAGCAATCTAAGAAGGTATAGACTGTTCACGATGACATACAAAGTCCTTCATGATCACTCCATAGATATCGAGCGCCAAGTATGTTTTAGGCACTGTGCTAAATGCTGGGGATACAATATAAACAAGAGGAACAGATTCCCTGCCCTCAAAGACCTGACCGAAGTCTGATGAGTACTACAAAGGAAAAGCACAAGCTCTTAAAGGAGTAAGGGGATGGAGGGGCCACAACTTCATTCGCATCACCAGGGAAGGCCTTCACCTCCCATCTTGCACGTTTTTTTTAAGATTTTATTTATTTATTTTTGACAGAGAGAGACATAGCGAGAGCAAGAACACAAGCAGGGGGAGTGGGAGAGGGAGAAGCAGGCTTCCTGCAGAGCAGGGAGCCAGATGCGGGGCTCGATCCCAGGACCCTGGGATCATGACCTGAGCCGAAGGCAGATGCTTAACCACTGACTGGCCACCCAGGCGCCCCACCCTTAACCTTTTAGCTTGTGCTTCTCCTTTGTGGTTCTCACAAATCTTGTGGAGCTATACCCAGCTCTGCAAACACGCCAGCCTATTTCACCCCATCTTTGCTCATGCTTCCCTGTTTGCCTGAAATGCCTTTCTCTCAAAACCTTCCTGCTGAACATACAATTATCTTTTGTGATACATTTAAAGTGATCCACTCCCACGTGACTCCTCCCACAGGTGCCTTCTTTGTGCACAAACAGGATTTTGCAAATACTCTCAGGGTCCCTCTGGCACTTCAGGCCCTTATCTGGTGGTCTCCCCTACACAAGTGTGAGTACCAGGGGATGAAAACTAACTGGCCTGGTCATCGCAGAACCTCGTGCTGTGGCTGGCATGTCAATTGTGAAGGGAAAGTAAGGGGAGAGAAGAAGGGAGAGAGGAAAAAACAACAATGAGGGGAGAAAAGAAAAGGCAAGCATGGAGACAAACGAACACTCCAGCATAAGCTATCCCAAGACCACCTGTCCTTTGAAAACTGTGCGTTCTAGCTACCCCATAAAATTAGCCCTTGCAGCCCCAGGCTCAAGCTGAGGCTGGCTCAGTAAGCACTTGATGAAAACCTTCAGAGTGCTCCCCACTCTTGCGGTCCTCCTGGGCTCCCTGCTTCCTATCGCCCATCCTCCGCAGCCAACAATTCCTCCCTCCACGTGAAGACCACAGACAGAAGATGAGTCCGAGGAGACAACAGAACTGCAAAGAAGGCAAACTAAAGTGAATGCCGCGAACCGCGAGCCACGTGCGAGAAAACCACGCAGAACTGTGAAGAACAGAGAGCGCGGGGCGGGGCGGGTCCCCCTTCACCTCGGAAGCTTTCCACAGTCCCCCGCCCCCGGGAAGGGGGGGGCACTCTCCGGGCCTAGGTTTCCCAGAGAAGCATCTGAAGTGCATAGTGTGGGGCTTTACGTTTTCAGATGCTCGTCTGGATTTCAAGGTGTAAACGCGGCGCTTGAGAGGGAGCGCTAGAATGGCTGCGGGGTTCGAGTCCCGGGTGGACCCTAACCAGACATCAAGCCCCAGGGCCTGTGGGGGAGGGGCTGCGGCAAGAGTGCACGAAGGCGGCGGGTGGGTGGGAGGGGGGCACCGATGAACTCTACTGGGAGCAAAACAAAGCAAAACAAAATCCTGAGAGGTGGTTTTTATATGACTTTGGAATGGACAGGGGCACTGGTCCCAAGCAGTGGCCAGCAGGCACCCGTGCCCGCCCCGCCGCCCCTCTACCGCTGCCAAACCTCACACCTGTCTGCTGCTCACCTCCCGGCCTTTTCCAAGGCTTTTTCGAGTGAGACCTGTCCCAGATGTCCAGGAACCCCCTGGGGCAGTGGCACTGCCAAGCAGAGCCATTTGATTCTCTGAGACCTGGATTTAAACAAAGTGGGAGGGGGAGAGAGGATACGGAGGTGCATGTGTTGGGGAGAGGGGTGCATCTAGGGAGCGCAGAACAGGTTCGCAATCTGACGGCTTCCCCGCCGCTGCACCTCCACCTTTTTCAGTAAGGAGCCCAGGCCAGCCCAGGCCCGGTGGGTCCCCGAGGGTCTGAGCTCACTTGAGCTGCAGTGACTTAGCTCAGCCCTGGTAATGGTGGTTTGATTGTAAAGAGCTCCTGTCCTCTCCTCCCCTCCATTCCTCCTTCTCTGCCTTCCCTGCAACCAATCAGTGACATCCCCACCCCCACCCCCAGGGCTCCATTCCTCCCCCACTGCCTGGATTTCCTTTAACAGAGGGTGTGAATCTCACGGTCAAATTCACGCTAAGAAGTGCATTGCGGATCCCAAGGCAATGCATTTTGAATCTTGAAAAATATAATGGTGGAGATAACCCTGGGGGGAGGGATGCTTTCTAGCGGTTTGAAGATTTCAATGTACGCAGGCAGGTCCCAGCTGGATTCCGCGGGATCAGGGCAGTGACAAGTTCTGAAGTAGGACCAGAGATCCCTTAGTGAATGCTCTCCCTCTGGAGTCTCATCCCCAGGGTCCTGCTATCTTGTCTTTGGCACTGAGTGGATCCAAACCCAACCGGGGGGGGGGGGGAGGGGGGAATATCTTGAGATTTACCAGCTGCATTCTGACAGCCTCTAGAGATCACTAGATGCTCACCTGTAGACCTATGTGGACCCCCAAGGGGGACATGCCCCCTCAGCTTCTCTTCCAGACTTTTTTCTTCCCCTTCCTGCCCTATCACGGGGCTCACTTGTCAGAATTCTGGTTCAGAAATCAGATGACGTTCTGGGAAAAGGAACCTAGAGAGTAATGAGCTGGGGGGTGGGGGAAAGACTATTTACTTCCTCTCTTCAAGTGAGCTGCCTGCGTCCCGTAAGGGCTCAGTGTATCTGCGGCGACTTCGCTCTGATGTGACAGCATGAGGCGGTTGCTACCCTCAACGGCTCTGCTGCTCCTAGGTAAGTCAGAGTCACTTGGGCTGCGAGAGAAGCTCCAGATGCCCTGGGGTTCAGCAGAGCCCACTTTTCAGGCCGGGGAGAGGACCCCTACCAAGGAATAGGACCCCTTACCACATGCAGAGCGCTCAATAGAGCTCCCAGGACAAACCCCTGGGGCGCTAGAGATGAGAACGCAGGCTCTGATTTGGGCATAACCAGGAAGCGAAGGGGGACTGGGAGGTCTCTGTTCCTTCACCCTGCTGGGGCTCAGTTTCCCTATCTGTAAATTGAAGGCTATGGACCAGATAGATGGTCCCTAAGTTCTGTCCCTTCCGTTCTGATGTCATTGGGTTCCCCTCCAAGACTTCTGATTTCCACCCTTGTGGGAGGACTTGGGTTGACGTGGTGTCTCTGGCTTGATTCAGGGAAATTCAGTCTGTACCCTTGTTTTGGGAGTTTGAGAAGAGGGACTAAGGAGGAAGGGAGTGGTGTTGAAAGCGAGGATGTGGGTGGAAGGCAGGACAGGAGACGTTGACACTGGTGACTAGAAGGCAGGCAGAGGGAAAGGTAGCCACCATACATACCTTGATTCGTGGCGACACGGGACTCCCAAGGCAGGGGCTGGCAGGGGAATTTACACCCCTTCCACACTCCAGCCCCCTGATCTCCACTTCTGTTCAGCATTTGTTTCGCCCTTTTGTCTTGCAGTTTCTGCTGGCACACAAGCTGGTGAGTTTGCTTTGTGGTCTCGATGGATCCAGCTAGGCACGCAGTGTGTAACAGCCACGGGGCTCTGGGAAACGCGCACCACTTGGGAAACAGTTGGTGTGGGGTTGTCAGGGGGCACTTCCCCAGTACAGTCGGCCTTGGCTCTAGGCTTCTCTGGCTAATTTTCCTCAGGATAATGAGAGGCCAGAAATGGGGCTAAGTGCCTTGAAGCCAAGATGTTCTGAGTCTGAGTCACCGACCAAGGCGGAGTCGCCAAGTGTGGGTTTGCAATGGGCTCGCTCTGGCTCTGAGCCTCCCCGGGAATGCTGGTGTAAGGCCCGCTCCGCTCCCTGCCCTAATCCACCCTCTCTTGGTTCCTTAGCAAACCTCAGAAAGGCTGTGGTGGTCCTGGAGCCTCCATACAATAGGGTCCTCACGTCGGACAGTGTGACTCTCAAGTGCCAGGGGACCGATCCCTTTGGGGACAGTTCCACCCAGTGGCTGCACAATGGGACCCTCATCTCAAATCAGACAAGCTACTTCATCAAAGTCGCCAGGACTGAAAACAGCGGCGAGTACAGGTGCCGGAAGGGACTCTCTGAACTCAGTGACCCCGTGCAGCTCGAAGTCCACGAGGGTGAGTGGGCGAAGGGGAAGAGGGGACTCGCCAATAGAGGGTGGAAGCGGAAGACTTGAGCAGACCCGAGACTTGGGGGTTAAAACTGAGATGAGATGATCTGTGGCCACCCTGAATTATACCAGAGTCATAGTCCTATCTCCAAGCAGGCCTTGGGCAAAATGTCAAAAGCTGGTGCCTGATGGACCCAGGACCCTGCAGGGCACAGTCCCAGCAACCACCATTCACATAGAACGTACCCAAGAGCATGGTGTCACCTGAAGGTCAGGCCATGCTGTTAGTGCTCACTGATATTTATTGAATAAGTTAATGGTTCTGTTTTTATGACCCCCATCTCCATCTGACTCTCAGGTGCACAATGCCCTAAGTGACCCTCCAAACCCTTCCAAACGGCCCAGGGTCCTATCTACCACCCTGTCCCCATCAATGCCACACTCAAACTTAAACTTCAGTGTAACTCTCCTCGTGGGGATAGAGACATGTTCAGCCTGCACACGGGTCATGGAACGGAAGTCTTTAGCATTGTTTGCAGAATGCAGGCATCAGAAGCAGGTGAGGGAAGGATGTCAGAGGCAGGGCCATGTCCCGCTGTCCCTGGAATCACAGCACCTGGCCCAGTACCTGCAGTGTCCCCTCTCAAGCCTGACGCTACTTCAGTGGCTGCCTTAGGGTCACCATGTGTACAGGTGGAAGGAGCCTGGAGGGGAAGGGGGGCCTGACTTGCAAAGAGTTTCACGGAACTAGGCCTCTGAAGCTGACTTTCGTGGCTCCTTAGCCTCTGACCACCATGTAGCTGACACGGTCTTCATGCTACGGAGTTACGGGGAGGAATGTGTATTCCCTAGCTAGGTGAGGCGTGGCTACCTTAGACCAAATAAAATGGGTTATTAGAAAAATCAAGCCTGAGAGCTATTAGTTTGCCTTGGAGTTCCATCTAGAACCTGGCTTTGGAAGTCCCGTCAATGAGGATCGTACTAAGCTGTGACCATGAGCACTAACTTCACCAGGAAGAACTCTCGATCATCTTTCAAGACTCGTTTCACTTTCTCCTCCTCTGAGAAGTCCTCTTTGTGCCATTCTCTTTGGCCCTCGAGACCTTTGTTCTTTGCCTGTTGTAGCACGCTGTGTTGGAATTATTTCTGCGTATGTGTTTTTCTGTGTTGGGTCTACAAATTCTTTGAGCTTAGGGATCATGTGTCTTCGTCAGCGGGTAACCCCAGACTGCACCACACCCGGTACATTAGTGAGGGCTCAACCAGATTTTCGCTGAATAGATGTGCATATGGACATTCATGAAGCCCATGGCAGGACAGACTGGCCCCAAGGCCACCAGACTATCTATATGTATTCTTATAACCATAATCTTTTTTTTTTAAGGATTTTATTTATTTATATGACAGATAGAGACACAGCAAGAGAGGGAACACAAGCAGGGAGAGTGGGAGAGGGAGAAGCAGGCTTCCCGCGGAGCAGGGAGCCCAATGCGGGGCTCGATCCCAGGACCCCGGGATCATGACCTGAGCCGAAGGCAGACGCTTAACCAACTGAGCCACCCAGGCACCCCTCAACCTTTCTTTAATGGAGCAAATCGTCATTTTTTTTTAAGATTTAAATTATTTATTTATTGAGAGAAAGAAAGAGAGCTCATGAGTGCGTGGGTGGAGGGGTAGAGGGGGAGGGAGAGAGAGAATCTCCAGCAGACTCTGTGCTGGGCATGGAGCCCGATGTTGGGCTCGATCCCACGACCCTGAGGTCATGACCTGAGCTGGATCCAAGAGTCAGACGCTCAGCCAGCTGAGACACCCAGGCACCCCACAAATCATCATTTTCAAATGCAATTTTTACTCTTTGACCTAGAACTTATGGTGGCTGCTTGTAGCCTTACTTGCCATAGCAAATCCCAGGGCAGCCCTAAGGACCCTGCAGATGGCTTCCCCCCTACCTCTTCCCTTAGTCCCTCTGTTCTACCCTTACGGTTTGATTTGTGTGTCCCTCTTCCTCGTTAGACAAAAAGTCTTGGTGTGACATGAGTTCTCCTGCAGGGCCCAGTGGGCTTTTTCCCGAAGCAAGCTCTGCAGGGATGGCTCCCAGGCTGGCTCTCCATGGCGCCCCAGGATCTGGGTGGTGAGTGTCCCCTTCCCAAGGTCTTGGCTCTGATTGCTGAGGCCCCCGGGCCGTGGCCTCCATGTCTTTCAGGTTGGCTGTTGCTCTGGACGCTTCGGCAGGTGTTCCAGGAGGGGGAGCCCATTTGGCTGAGGTGCCACAGCTGGAAGAACAAGCCCGTATGGAACGTTCAATATTTCCAGAATGGAAAAGGCAAGAAGTTTTCTTATAATAATTCTGACTTCCACATTCCAGCAGCAACAAGCAAACACAGTGGCTCCTACTTCTGCAGGGGGCTTATTGGGAAGAAAAACAAGTCTTCAGAGGCTGTGGACATCATCGTTCAAGGTAAGAGCTGCACAGCTCTCGAGGGTCCAGAACCCCCTGGGCATGGATGGAGTCTGCACTCAGACTGTGAAGATGAGTGGAAAGGAGATTCTGGAATATTCCACAGGCTTCTTTACAAGGGGTTCTGAGGGGTGTCATTGACTCTGCACGAACAGAAGCCACATTTCCTGCCCCATAAGTACACCTGTCCCTCCTTGCCCCAGTCACACCACGCCCACAATGTTATGTGTCCCTAGAGTGCTAGCCCATCTTCACTGCCCTCCTTTCCTCTCCAAGCCTCAAGTCTTAGCCAAGAACCAACCTGGTGGGCGCCCCTCACTGGCTCACAGAGAGGGCATGGAAACTGGGTCCCGGTTCTGCTGCTCATTAATCATGTAACAGTGCATAAACCATTAGTCTCTTTGAGTCTCAAGTTCCCCTTCTGTAACAAAGATGAGTTGACGTTTATCGGGCACCTTTCAGTGTGCTCGACACCCCGCTAAGTGCTTCTTTCCATGCACCCAGTTTGACCATCACAGTGACCCCCTCACCACAATGTTATGAGGTTATAGGTATTATTGAGTCTACCTTACGGATGAAGTAACTCTAACTGAGGGGAGAATGGGGGGGCGCGTTAATGTGTCTCTAAGATCACACCAAAGATTCAAAGACCTTTATCTTTTTTTTAAGATTTTATTCATTTAGGGGCGCCTGGGTGGCTCAGTC